ATCGCTATGCCATTGGGGGCAGCCCATTGTGTAGCTTTGTGCTTAATTACAAACAAACCAAAAAACACAATGGGCTATCTGTGCTCTGCCAACCACGGGTATCGAAACCCGGATTCTAGCGTTGTAAGTCCGCAGACATATCGCTATGCCATTGGGGGCAGCCCATTGTGTAGCTTTGTGCTTAATTACAAACAAACATATTAACTAACTTTGAATAATCATAAACAAATAATGTCGTTAATTATAATTAATTTACTGTCTCCAGGGGGTAAGCCTCTTTTTTTACAGATTTTTACCCAAATGAATAATCATCTCCATAACTTCACGAACAACAAGAATTTTAATGTATTTAAATCTCATTGCTTGAGATGTAATTAATCTTTACTTCTACTCTCCAGATTTTCTATTCATACTAATCAATTTTAATATAAAAAAAATGATTAACAACAAATTAAATGGTTCACAACATCTGATTCAATATTCGGCATTATGCTCTCAAAAATATTAATGACTTAATTAACTGTAGTTAACATATATTAAACTATTACCCTTGAAAGTTTTAAAAAATAAGTATTTTAAACTTAAACTTTTATATATCAAAATATATCATTAAGTTAAACTATTACCCTTCAAAGTTTTAAAAAAATAAGTATTTTAAACTTAAACTTTTATATATCAAAATATATCATTAGGCTTGGAATCTAATATTTTTATTAAACAACTACAAGAAGGATATCAACCATTAACCTACAACGTATAATTTAGTTATTTTATCGCGATGATTTTATACAAGAAATCACAAAACTTTTGAACAATATATATAATTTGTTATCGTATTTTTATTTTATTTTATTTTGGTATCTGAGTTGCCATAGATGGGACTACCTCGAGAATCTAATTCGAGCTGAATTGAGGCAATCTGTATCACAGCCTTACAATGTGATCGTAAGAAATTACGCTTTCGTCATATTTTTTTCATAGTAACACCAGTAATAATTGGAAGATTTGGAAAGCCATTAGTACGTATAATATTTGATGTTCCAGATATAGCTTTCTCACGACTAAATGACATATGATTCTGATTACTACCACATCATTTCATCTTTTATTATGCTCCTGCAGCAGTAGAAAAATAGATGAACATTGCATCTGACATTGCCCACTCAATAGAATTAGTAGTCTTCTCAGTCCATCTAGCAAGAGTGTCCTCTATCTTAGGTATCCTTAATTCCGTAAGAACAATTATAAATAATATATGAATGTCCTTGAACGAAATCCTCTAGTTGTACAATCAGTGAAAATTAAAGCATTTTTTTTTAATTATATCTTTATTAGATCTAGGAGGAGGGGTTTCTACTACATTTATAACAGATCTGGGGAGGAAATCCAGTTTTATACCAACATATATTTTTATTTTTTGTACATCTTGAAGCTTATATCTTGACTGTTCCCGGACTTGGAAGAATCTCTCACATTGTTAGCCACAAGAAATGAAATCTTTTGGCACCCTGGGTATGATTTAAGCTATACCAGCTACTTGCATGTTAGGTTTTGTACTTTGAGCTAACCATGTATTCACAGCCACACTTCACTACAGCCACTGATATTATTGCTGTTACCACTGGTTTCAATATCCTTAAATGACTAGCTACATTACACGATTCTCACATTTCATGCGAGTCTCGGGGTTTGTTTTCCTATTTGGGGTCTTACAGGAGGTAGTTTTAGCTAATTCATCATTTTACACCTGTTACTTTGTAGCTCACTACGTTTTATCAATATCTGCTATTTTAGCAAAAGTAACACACTGGTTTCTTATATTTCTCTGAAGAGCAATATATCCAACTGAATAAAAATCCATTTCTCAGTAATATTTATTAGAGTTAATGTTACGTTCTTCCCACAATGTTTTCTAGGGTCGAGGGGATTCAACAACATACATTTTTATAACATGACATGTAGTTTTCTCTTTAGATTCTTTACTCTCTTTTATTGCTGTTATAGGCTTTATTTTCGCCATATGAAACTGACCAGTCGTTTTCTGATCATCTTCCATCTTCAGTGGGATGACAGCATAACATTCCTTCAGTGTTATAAATCTATACATCAAGTCAGCATATTAACTAATAAGGTTATGGTAACTTGATCTCGTTTCCTTTTTCAAGACAGAGCTTCCCCTAACATGGAAGAAATGACTTTCTTTCATGACCAGACAGTAATTATTCCAACTCTTACCACGACTTTAGTTGGATATACAATAACCGACATTATTATCAATTAATTTACCAACTGAATAATTCTAGAAAGACAAGAAATGTAAATATTTTGAACAATCATCTTAGCCCTAATTACAATTTTTATTTCTATTTCCTCGATACGTCCTCTATATTTAATAGTTAAAATCAATAACTCTGTGTTAAGAGTAAAAACAATTATTCAACATTGATACAAATACTTAGACTTCACAAATAGTCTAGATGTTATCATCCACAATACTCATCCAATAAACATTCAAGTTTGAATAATAATCACAGCATGATTTAATGATTACTGCCTTAGATATAAAAGTTGATACAATTCCAGGCTTCGATTATAACTAATCGTTCAGGATTCTTTTATAGCCAATGCTCAGAGATTTGTAGAGAAAATCACAGTTTCATATATATTGTTGTAGAAAGTGTTAATATTTATGAAATGAATAAATTCAATAACTGTATCTCTAGATGACTGAAAGAAAGTATTGGTCTCTTCAGTCAGTAAGTAGTAGAATCGTCTCTTCAACAAAAAGGGTAGATAACAAATAACACCCGTTTGATCAAGTTGAAATTAACTTCAAAGTACCTTTTAATTCCTCAGACATCCCTTTAAACTGAGCTCGAATAACTATTACATTATTCCTTATCACTTTTTCCCAACAATTATATTATATTGAAACTTTTTTAATCCTTCCAGTAAATATACCTTTAAAAATCCCCGAAAAATACCGATCTTTATCTTTAAATTGAATTCGAACAATCTTAGTGGTGCTATTTTTGTCACAGTTATTCTGAATAATCCTATTACAATCACAAATAATTATTATAAAAATTTCTAATAAACTAAACAAAGAATTCTCCATTCTTCTATCATCTTAAAAAGCTTGGGGCAACTTTTTTCCTAATCTAACTCTCTTGAGAAACAATGCAGTTACATCTTTCCTAACAACAATTTTGCCATTTTCATTAACTCAAAACATTATATTAATTTAATTCTAGAAATAGCAGACGCATTTATCCAAGTTTACATCTTTGTGGTCCTCTTGGGACAGTAGCGAAATTCACTAATGATTAGTTATACTCACCTATTTTATATAGTAGACCAAAACCCTTGATCTTTACCAGGAGAGCTAAAGCCTTAATTTTAACAATTTAATCAATCATTGGATTATTATAGCTTATTATAGGTTGGATTTATTATATTAATTTTTAAAATAATCCACTAATGACGAGACATTGCGCAAGAGTCAACATTCCAAGGTAGTCTTACATCTATAGTAACTTCATTCTTATGAGCATTTTTTTATGGAATACATCCCCAAGTATTGAAATGGGTCTTTAAGACCATACACGGGAAATCTTCCATTTAACCCATTCCAAATCCCTTTACTAAATACTGCAATTCTTCTCCCATCAGGGGATGTAACTACATGAGCTCATCCGCAGAACCACAGTAAACAATCTTTATCAGCACCAGAACTAATAATTTTATACTCCACTGAACTTCACACGTCATGATATTGAGAAGTACCATTTTCAATCGCCGATTCAGCCTACGAACGATATTTTTTGTTTCAACAGGTTTTCGTGGTATCCATGTTATTATTGGTATATCTTTTCTCACAATATGTTTTATATACTAAACATCTCACCTTTTTTTATCAGTACATCATTTTGGGGTTGAAACAGCAGCCTGGTACTGATAGTTTATTGATGTAATTTGATTATTCCTGTGCGTTTCCATCGAATGATGGGGATCTTATCTTTTTAGCATATTAATTAAGTACATTTGGTTTTCAACTAATGGGCTAAAGTTAAATAAAAAATATAATTCGACTGATCCTAGTAATGACCCTGTTTTGTTTCATTATAAGACTCATTTTAATCTTCTTTTCCTTAATAATTATAAAAAAGCCTTTCTAGATAAAATGAAACGTTAACAATGCGAATGCGTATTTAATCCATTTTTGTCGTGTCGGATTTCATTTTCTCTTTGATTTACCCCCTAGTGAAACAGCAGTATATCTGCGGACATACAACACTAGAAATCGGGTTTTGATACCCGTGATGGGCAGAGCACAGATAGCCTATTGTGTAGCTCTGTGCTTAATTACAAACAAACGCTTTCATTTTTTCTTACTTTCAATAATTATTTCTCATTTTGATGTAGAAATTGATTTTTATCAATCTTCAAAACTCAAGAATAATTTTTCTCACATTCATTCTTATTTTACTAATTAAAATATTAAATAATCTTATTTAGTAGTAGAAATATTTAATATTTTTATTTTACTAGTAAAAATATTAATGTTCTTATTTTACTAGTAAAATATTTCATATTCTTATTTTGCTAGCAAATGTTTAATATTCTTATTTTACTAGTTAAAATATTTAATATTCTTATTTTACTAGTTCAAATATTTAATATTCTTATTTTACTAGTAAAATATTTCATATTCTTATTTTACTAATAAAAATATTTGATATTCTTATTTTACTAGTAAAATGTTTAATATTCTTATTTTACTAGTAAAATATTTGATATTCATATTTTGCTAGTTCAAATATTTGATATTCTTATTTTACTAGTCAAAATATTTGATATTCTTATTTTACATGTGAAAATATTTGATATTATTATTTTACTAGTTAAAATATTGCATGAATGAAATATGAAGTCTGGAATGCACAAGGCAGAAAGTGAAAATTTAAATGTTACAAAAGCTTTTGTTTGTTTGTTTGTAATTAACACAAAGCTACACATTGGGCTATCTGTGCTCTGCCCACCACGGATATCGAAACCCGGTTTCTAGCGTTGTAAGTCCGCAGACATACCGCTGTGCCACTGGGAGCGTTACAAAAGAAAATTATAAGAAAGCCAGACAAAAAATCATATTATTCCTAAAAATATCAATAATTATACCCACATAATTCTTATAACCACAAAGTAATACTCCACATAAACATACCTAATCACACCACAACAGAAAAATTCTAGAAACTTTGAAAATCAGAGGAATAAAAACGAAACAAAATGTTGGAAATAACATTCATATTAAAGATGATCCTATTACAATAGTCCAGAAAGTCATGACAAAATAAAACAATTTATCATTTTACCTTTAACAAAACTGTTAAAGATAAAAACTCGTCCTATTGCACAGTAAGAGAAGTATAGAATAACAAGCAGCAAACACTTTCTCAAATTAAGTCCTTTGAATAAAATTTATCTAAAAAGGAGATTCCACACCAAAATAAATTAGCAGCATTTAAACACGAGACAAATAGAGACCTTTTATACAATAATATACCTATAGATTTGGAAACCAATCAATATTGTGAATAACAGAGTCTACACAAAGGAATAACAAAGCTTTGAACCTTGTTGTACTCATTACCAATCCAGGATAATGTTGTAGTAATTACCATTCCAAGATCATGTTGTACTCATTACCAATCAAACACTATGTTGTAGTAATTACCATCCCAAGATCATGTTGTACTCATAACCAATCAAAGACCATGTTGTAGTAATTACCAACTCAGAACCACGTTCTACTCATTACCAATCCAGGACCATGTTGTAGTAATTACCAACTCAGAACCACGTTCTACTCATTACCAATCCAGGACCATGTTGTAGTAATTACCAACTCAGGACCACGTTCTACTCATTACCAATCCAGAATGATGTTGTAGTAAATTACCAATCATAGACCATGTTGAACACATTACCAATCATAGACCATGTTGTAGTAATTACCAGTACAAGCATGTGTTAATATATGAAAATAGTCAGCTTTCTGTAGCCGAAAGAAATTAATAGCATTGCAACACTTAACTGGTTTAATGATTTTATTTAGATCAGTTTCATAATGAGTCCCTAAACAAGAAACAAATGTACCCATAAAAGAAATAGATATAAAAACAAACAACGAAATACATCTGACACTGGAATATTGTCTCGAAGGAATCAGCAAATAAACCGGTGAATCAGCAGTAAATTTACGGATTTCTCACACTAAAATTCGAGGTTCGGTTCCCTGTGGTAGACAAATATCAAGTAGTTCATTGTGTGGATTTGGACTAAAATACATAATCAAAGAATAATGCAAAAGAATGGTCCAAAGCAAAAACAGGATTTGGAGCTGCCATAGTGACTGGGAATCATGCAGAAAATTGGAGTTTAACTTTTTAGATATAATAGTAATACAGCCTTAAAAAAATGTTCTTCTCATTTGCATTATATGATGTAGAAGAAAAATTATTCTACTTCCAATAATTAAATAATCAAGAAATTGACACCAATTTGTTACGTTTCTGGTTGTTCGTTTGTTAATTTTCCGTAGAAATTATTTCCGAGAAACTTCAGCGGCACAAGTCCTTTCTTAAATAAAACTAGTTTATTCCCTCTCAATACAACTTTGCAATATACTTAATTTCCACAGTCACCTTAACGTAAACGTACGCTATAATTCACAACGATTCACGCACTTTATTACCGCGCTTGACTCAATTGTCCGTGTCTGTCTGTCTGCAATTATCTATCTATGTGCCGTCACTTCTCGCCGGTCTTATATATATACAAAATAGAGGGCGTCTGGAGAAAAGACCAGAGTTGCCACGAACAGACATGATCCTTCTAGAATATCATGACGTGTTACTAGATCCACGTGACTTCCGCTGTCGTAACAGTATTAAAAACAAAAACTTAATATTATAAATTACCACAATAAGGCTTAAGGTAATTTTTATTCCTCTACTTCCCAGAGAGCACAACTCAGAATTGTTTTAATCTGCTTAAGCATTAAAATTAATATAACCACAGTTCAAGATTTAAAAATAACAAATTTAATGATAAATAATCCCGAAAATAAGTTACACTAATAGAGAACAAAGTTCAACATTTGATGAACACAAAAATAGGGAGTATTAAGCTGAAAAAAAGACACCGGTCTTAAGTACATACTTTGCAATTTCTGTCCCCCGGTGGGACAGCGGTAAGTTTACGGACTTACAAGGCTAAAATCCAGGGTTCGATTCCTCGCAAGGGACACAGCAGATAGTCCTATGTGGCTTTGTTCTAAAACAAACATCCAAACTTTAATTTCTTCATTCATCCAATCTCACAATAAGAACAAATTCACCAAATAAATTCATTGAAGGCGAAACCACTATTTTAAAGACGAAAAACAAAGATCATCGTAAAGTTAATGAAGGAAAGAAAAATGGACTCGCTCTTGAACAATATTAGTCAAACCAAACAGCATAGACCATGAGCAATTATCAATTAAAGAGCTCATTGCTAACCTCATTTTAACATCGTAATAATCCCACAAAAAGGAATCCCCGTGTGAACGATAGTTGAATGAGCGATCAAATATTTCAAATACATCTAACGCATACGAATAAATATTGTAAAAAGCCCACCTACTAAGACCACACTAACCAAATTTCCGTTTTTTAGAACAAAAACATCCTGAAATAGATACCGTATTCGAAATAAACCATATCTCCTAACTTCAAAATAACAAAATAAACCATACCTCCTAACTTCAAAATAACAAAATAAACCATACCTTCTAACTTCAATAAAACAAAATAAACCTTACCTCTTAACTTCAATAAAACAAAATAAACCACACCTTCTAACTTCAATAAAACAAAATAAACCATACCTTCTAACTTCAATAAAACAAAATAAACCATACCTTCTAACTTCAATAAAACAAAATAAACCACACCTTCTAACTTCAATAAAACAAAATAAACCATACCTTCTAACTTCAATAAAACAAAATAAACCTTACCTCTTAACTTCAATAAAACAAAATAAACCACACCTTCTAACTTCAATAAAACAAAATAAACCATACCTTCTAACTTCAATAAAACAAAATAAACCTTACCTCTTAACTTCAATAAAACAAAATAAACCACACCTTCTAACTTCAATATAACATAAGATAAGATCATTAACTCAACAATAGGATCTTCTACATGAGCTTTAGGTGTTGAAAGATGCAAGAAAAATCTCGACAACTTCACTAAAAAGGAATATAAGAATAATAAATGAATATATAACCATTTAATATTGGATTAATCCCAAGAGATAAAATATAAACTCCCCTCGTAAGTAATACGACTTAAAAATGACAATCGAATAAGGCAAATAATGCATAAAAAATCATGTAAATACCAGCCCGCAGGCATTCAGGTCGTCTCTCTCACTGCACAGTTAAAAAAAATTGTTATACAAAACTAGATAATGTTCACCTAATATCAAAGATATGCAACCACATCTAGTAAACCGATAAATAGAAAGGGCTTAAAACCTAATCAAGAATAAATCAAGTTGAATAATTTCCCAAGAAATTATGAAAATATGTAATAATTCACTTGGATCGAGCAATTAAAACAAAAATCTCTAACCCAAATCTACCCATAAATACAGCCATGATTTAAAATGATCAACAAAAAACGTTCCCCCTCCTAATTTCCCCCCAAACAAACGAGTCATTATCAAAAACGTCCTAACACTAATACTATAAACTCAAATCTCCATAGTATAGGTAATAAATGCTTACGATTTCTTAACAAATGTCAAGAAACCTGAAACACACATCAACATAACTAAATATATTATTCCAAAATTAACAGTCATTACTTTTATTAGTTTATATCAAAATATCTGTCATGTAAACCACACACAAATGTAACGTCCTTAAAGCATCAAGAAAAGGTAAAGATAATCCATTATTGGACCTTTCACTTGTATTTCAGTACAATAGAGATAAATCTTCAATTGTCAACCCTTATCACCAGAATTATTCAGTACAATAAGAATAAATCTTCAATTGTCAACCCTTATCATCAGAATTATTCAGTATAATAGGGATAAATCTTCAATTGTCAACCCTTATCATCAGAATTATTCAGTATAATAGGGATAAATCTTCAATTGTCAACCCTTATCACCAGAATTATTCAGTACAATAGGGATAAATCTTCAATTGTCAACCCTTATCACCAGAATTATTCAGTATAATAGGGATAAATTTTCAATTGTCAACCCTTATCACCAGAATTATTCAGCATAATAGGGATAAATTTTCAACCCTTATCACCAGAATTATTCAGCATAATAGGGATAAATTTCAACCCTTATCACCAGAATTAACAAAGCATTCTTGGTTTTCTGACATCTTATTTCTAATCATTCTCGGGGGAATATTACTGTTAGTTGTCTTCATTTGTACTGCAACTGTAGCCCCAAACAAACCTTTTAAATTGTCAAACATTATAGGCTCAACCCTTACAATATTTCCTATTATTATAACCTTTAGAAAGGTTAAAACACCTAATAAATCGAAAATATTTAAAATCTTTATTTCGAAAATAATATCTAATATAACTAAGAACACTCTAACCCATCCTTTAATCGCATTAATTTCAGAAGTAAGAATTTCAAGACCTAATTTATCAAAACTAATGACATTCTCACTACAAAAAGTTCATCTTCTCTTTAAAATAATGAATTCCCCTCTTCTTGACTAATCATGCTCTTCAGACATTTCTTACATGTGGAAGTTTGACTTGCTTCTCACCATACACTTAATAACCTAAGTCGTAATGAGAGTTTTCTTGTCAATACACGACGGGTCTGATTTCTCATTAGTATTTTACAGAATGTCTCACATCTATCGAGATGTAAACAACTATTGAATATTTCCAACAGACCACGATGAAGGTGCTTCTCTAGTTTTTTTATTTTTATACAAATTTGTTGAGGAATACATTTTGTATCTGATAACATGAAATTCAGGAATTTTTATCCTATTTTTAACAGTAGCATTCTGAGGGGAAATATTAATTGACAATTTAGTTTCACTAGTTCCATATGCAGGCCAAACCCTAATAAAATAACTATGAAGAGGGTCTTCCGTAGGAAATGCAACTAATCACAGTTCTCTACTCTTCGTTATTCATTCTAACAACCTTTTTTAATTAACGCCAGTCCACCTTAAACCACCATGATATTTTCTATTTGCACGAACAACCCTTCTTAATTAACGCCAGTCCACATTAAACTAGTATGATACTTTCTATTTGCACGAACAACCCTTCTTAATTAACGCCAGTCCACATTAAACTAGTATGATACTTTCTATTTGCACGAATAACCCTTTCTTAATTAACGCCAGTCTACATTAAACCAGTATGATACATTCTATTTGCACGAATAACCTTTTCTTAATTAATGCCAGTCCACATTAAACCAGTATGATACTTTCTATTTGCACGAATAACCCTTTCTTAATTAACGCCAGTATACATTAAACCAGTATGATACTTTCTAGTTGCACGAACAACCCTTTCTTAACGCCAGTCCACATTAAACCAGTATGATACTTTCTATTTGCACGAATAACCCTTTCTTAATTAACGTCAGTCCACATTAAACCAGTATGATACTTTCTATTTGCACGAACAACCCTTTCTTAATTAACGCCAGTCCACATTAAACCAGTATGATACTTTCTAGTTGCTTATAATATTCTACGATCCTTACAAAACAAACTTTGATCAGTTACAATCCTATTCATATTACCCTTCAAAAATTACATTTCGAAAACTAGCCTTACACCTTATTAATCAAATCTTATTTCGATTAGCCATAAATGTATTTTTTATTATTTTGAATGACCTGTAGCTCCACCTGTAGAAGCCCAGTACGAACTAATTCAGCAAATATAAAAAGATGAAATAAGACTCTATGATTACTTAGTTATAGAGTAAATATCTTGTTTTGTAAACCAAAACTGAAACACGTCCTCTAGTAATATTGTTCCCAAAAGTTGGTTAATAACGGTGAGAAAACACAAGTTTTGAAAATGAGATAATTTAAAGCCAGGGGTAAGTAATTAAACTATAAATTTATCATAATGTAATTGAATAAAAGTTTCACGAATCCCTAAAAATAAGGCACTAAGTAGAATCACCGTAACCATTATTAGCTCTCTTAATCCCCATCTAAACAAGAATTACACTATTAAATATTATAAACACAATATTCAGCTATAAACGTATTACAGATCCACTACACTATTAAGTATTATAAACACAATATTCCTATATTCAGCTATAAACGTATTACAGATCCACTACACTATTAAGTATTATAAACACAATATTCCTATATTCAGCTATAAACGTATTACAGATCCACTTCTTTTATACTTCACATTAAATCCAGACATTAATGTAGATTCACCCTCAACAATCGAATGGAATACCATAAACACGAGAAAAATCAAATAATCACCAAGTGGAGACAATTCTCTGATTCCAACAACCATTAAACATAAACATTATCAAATGATATTTAATCATGGCCTTCAACCAAAACAAAACAGGATAATAAAATAATTACTCCGCCAACTTACTCCGATGGATATAACTTGAGCAACAGCACGATATACACCAAATATAGAATACTTAGAGATTGAATGTCGATCAGACCCCTAACATAGGACAAACTCTAATTGTAGGGTATCAGCTGTGAAAAAAAAAAAACATCTCCGAGCCCAAATCTACTAAATCGGAAGAAAGAAAGAAGCTATAAGTATAAACTAAAAATATGTTTTATAAAATAAGTATTGAAATTAAGTAACACTATTTCTTGCAAAAAACAAAGTTCAGTAGCGTCAGAGAAATCCCAACGATACCAAACTTATTACATTCAGATTTGACATTTTAATAAGGTCAGAAAAGCCACTCTCACTAAACAAAACCAACAATAATATAGATCTCATTACCCTCGTTAAAGGGGAGTATACTTCTATAAATTAAGTTTAAATCCATCGTACTAATCTGCCATTCTAATGATTAACTGAGATAAACCAATTCCATAGATCCTAAATCTGATATGCTTATCTGCCAGATTAATTAAAATAAAATAAATTTTATACTGCTCGGTCACTTTATGTGTGTAAATAGGCTTAGAATAATTGCATACACACATCTCGACAGAGTGATTTAGGGATAGTAAGTTTTTCAACACGTGGAATTTTTTTTAAGGTAAAAACATAAATGTTATAATGATGTTTTCATGTAAGTTTAACTTTTTATAAGTCTGGCGAAATGTAGCTTAAGTGTCTAAACTGGTTGATTGTTTGGAAAAAATAGTTAATTCTTTTTTTATTTCTTTGTAATTGACCACTATATTGTACATGTTGAAACCTTATAAATGAAAAGTTAAACAGAAAAAATATTTCAGAAATATACCTGAGAAATAAGGTTACTTCAGCTAAATGTTGATTGTAGCTATATTCACGGCATAATTTTACTCTCCTGTGTATACGCAATCGTTCAAGGTTTTGATTTGTTACTTGAATAAACCAAAACTACCTAAAATGGAACCACAATACTTAGATAGGATAGGAAATTAACATGGAGTGAGCATATGTATACTTTAATTTAAAAACGTTGGTGTAGATATAATAAATGGAAGAAAATAATTACTAAACATAGAGGTTGTAGCAGAAGAATAATTAAAATTTCTAAAACTTATATAAGACCATTGTTTGAGTATGCTGTTTGTCCATGGTCAAAACCTTGCAAACAAATTGTGTTCTACGATTAGCTATAAACTCATCTTTCCAACACCAACAGTTTTCAGTACCATTACTAGATCAAAGGTTTGAGTATTTAACTCAAGTTTGTTTGAATTTCGCGCAAAGCTACACGAAGGCTATCTGTGCTAGCCGTCCCTAATTTAGCAGTGTAAGACTAGAGGGAAGGCAGCTAGTCATCACCACCCACCGCTAACTCTTAGCCTACTCTTTTACCAACGAATAGTGGGATTGACCGTCACATTATAACACCCCCACGGCTGAAAGGGCGAGCATGTTTGGTGGGACGGGGATTCGAACCCGCGACCCTCAGATTGCGAGTCGAGCGCCTTAACCACCTGGCCGTGTCGGGCGTTTAACTCAAGAGTATTATAATAAAAATAGACATTCATATGCGTTAAAAGAAATTAAAAATAATACTACGTTCAGAAGAATCAATACGTATAATTCTTTATTAAGTTTACACTGTTATGAATTTAGAAAAAAATCCAAGCTTAAAATCTTAATTCAAACAAGGAGAAATTAAAAAATAAACTAATAAATTAAATTATTCAAACTTGAGAGAGGTTCAAATTTTAAAATATTTAACTTATACAATTATTTTATGAATTATTTTACATTAAAATGTATTCATACAATTTTGGTCTTTTTAATTTAATATACACGTGTTATACATTTTAAATATATGTGCAACGTGTACAAGTTATATGTGTGAAACAGATCGAATATTTTATTGTATGGAACAGGAGAAATGTTACAAAACATTAAAAGTTTAAGGTGGCAAAGGTTGTTATTTCCGATCCACTTGTCATCGGGACAGAGGACGAGTTGTTATAGCTGATCAACCTGTCCTCGGGAGAGAGGACAAGTTGTTATATCTGATCCACCTGTCCTCGGGAGAGAGGACGAGTTGTTATATCTGATCCACTTGTCTTCGGGAGAGAGGACGAGTTGTTATATCTCATACCCCTGTCCTCGGGAAAGAAGACGAGTTGTTATATCCGATCCACCTGTCCTCGGGAGATAGGATGAGTTGTTATATTTCATACACCTGTCCTCGGGAGAGAGAACGAGTTGTTATATCTGATCCACCTGTCCTCGGGAGAGAGAACGAGTTGTTATATCCGATCCACCTGTCTTTGGGAGAGAGGACGAGTTGTTATATTTCATACACTTGTCCTCGGGAGAGAGAACGAGTTTTTATATCTGATCCACCTGTCCTCGGGAGATAGGATGAGTTGTTATATTTAATACACCTGTCCTCGGGAGAGAGAACGAGTTGTTATATCCGATCCACCTGTCCTGGGGAGAGAGGACGAGTTGTTATATTTCATACACTTGTCCTCGGGAGAGAGAACGAGTTGTTATATCTGATCCACCTGTCCTCGGGAGAGAGGACGAGTTGTTATATTTCATACACCTGTCCTCGGGAGAGAGAACGAGTTGTTATAACTGATCCACCTGTCCTCGGGAGAGAGAACGAGTTTTTATATCTTATACACCTGTCCTCGGGAGAGAGAATGAGTTTTTATATCTGATCCACCTGTCCTCGGGCGAGAGAACGAGTTGTTATATTTAATACACCTGTCCTCGGGAGAGAGAACGAGTTGTTATAATTGATCCACCTGTCCTCGGGAGAGAGAACGAGTTTTTATATCTGATCCACCTGTCCTCGGGAGAGAGAACGAGTTGTTATAAT